AAAACAATTTCAGCTTTTTTGAGTGTAATTACAACTAAAAACCAGCAGATGCCGACTCGATCACACAGCTTTGGAAAGAACCCCTGACGTTTCACCCCTCCCTCGGGGAAAATCACGTTCAGTGACGTAGGTACGTAGTGACGTAATGACGTCGTTACGCTACCTACGTCTTGACGCAGTGCGTCAAGATGGCGGCTGCCCGGTTCAGAAACTAGCAGCTTCGCCAACAACACGGAGCCAAGCCTCCGTCTTTTACGCTCCCCAGCGTAAATTACTCAGCTTCACGCAACCCCAACAAGGCAAACGATTTATGAGCTGATCCTTGACTCTCGCACGGAATACAGGGCAAGACGTTCTGCGCGCAGCAGACTTTAATCTGAATAAACAGTTAGCTTTCCCTGTTAGCACTGGCAGTGCTATTCCCACACAGCTTCGTGTGGATCAGACTGTCTGTCTGAAYAACGCYTCGGCCCAAAACACACAGTTTCTATTAGCCTCAAACAGCGCTGATAACTCCCTACACGTATGTTTACTTCTATAAAATAAACCGTGTCGACACGCTTCTAAGTTGCGACCTTAAAGCTTCGTCATGGAGTTCAACTGRTTACCTTTACGCGTATTTTACGCACGAAACCAGACCAGACTTACGTTCAAAAAACCCGTCAATAGAACACTGGATTTACAAAGGGACCCTTATAACTCATTCATCACAGATATGAGTACATGCATGCAATTACTCGCTTCCCAAGCGAGTCACAGTCACTGCTTTTCAGAGCCGACAGCGCAGCTCTCTCTCCAGCAACAACCGAACCTGTCTGCGCGGCGGCAGACAGAACCACAAAACCGGACCTCTCCTCTGCGCGCAGCGGCACAGAGAGAACCAAAACCGGACCGCGGCGGGCCCAAAAACGCACTTATAGCCAAGATAAACAGATTTCTAACAGAATTGAGGTCTGCAGCTCCTCAAACTGTATTCTGAACACTCAGCAAAGCCGTTTTACACTGTAAAAAAAACCACACATGCCAACGTGGAAATTAATAATTAATTAATTTTCTCAGATTCATAACCAGATTAATACCTCATTAATCAGATTAGCCTTTCTGCCCGCATTCTCCACCAAATATGTAGGAATTACTCCATGAAATTAGGACCAGCCTATGTTTCATAAAGATAATCCAGCAAGACCTTGCAAGAATGAAATCAGAAATAATGAAATATCCCTCTGATGATGAAGTGAAAAATGAAAACTTGTGACCTGGTCAGGTTTCTCAAAATAAAGTAATTTATTTTAGACACATGAACAGAATAAACATACAAATATTTGCTAAAATTATTATATGGATAAATGACACAAGTTATAATTTTCATAAAAAAAAAATTCCACTCAGAGTTGACACACAAACAGTAAATTTCAGGTGTAATAATTCACTGGCACACTGCTTACTAAGTTTTAAGTAAATAAGAGAGAAAAAGTAAAGGTTTAGCTTTAAGA